TTTTACCATTTTCTATCTTTACAAATACCGAAAAGGGAGCATTCATATCTTCACTTTCCAGTTTCGACAGAGTTCAAAAGCGTTTACGCAGCCTTGTAGGCGAGGGATTATTTACAGATATACAATCCCTTTCTCCCAGATGAAACGTCCTAAACTTATCGATACTCTATTGCTGTTTCCATGGTAAATGTTCATACGAGTTGCATTCCTTAGTTCCACCAACTTCAAAGCTTTATAGCGAGGACTCACCATGCCATGGGTAGAATCATCGTCAATCTCTTCATATTTTATTGGTAAGATATCTTCTTTCAGAGAAGCGCTATTTTGTGGAACAGACTCCCGCGAGGATGTTTCCCTGATCACTGAAATCTTAACTTCTTCAAGTCTAGGAACAACCGTTACCTAACCTAGATACTCTCATGGTTAACACTTACTTCCTCTTCTTACGCCTACACAACAATGCCATTCATTAACCGTTCAGTGGTTCTTGGGCCTTGTATTGAGTAAATATTAATAAAAAAATTCCCTGCGTGTGACGTAATCATAACTTGTTTCTGTGGAAACCAGATGATTCGTATAGTCTCAGTTCTAGAGAGTCTGCTCATTCGGTTAGCACCTTTATAGATAACAGGTTCAGAATTAATTTTTAATACTTGAGATGTCCTCAAGTGATGTACCGATTGGGCAGAACAATCTTTGTCTTCGGCACTAAGTGACATTAAGACTGTACCGCAGCCATAACAACAGTGGTGTGTCTTGTTGAATTCAGTGTTTTCCTTCTCCTAGACTGGTTGCCAACTAAGATTATGGGGCTCAATCTACCCTGCTATTTAACCCATAGCTGAGAGGAGAAGAGATGGATTCATACCTTTCCTAAGCGTATTTGCGCGTAAGTAAATATAACGAACTCGACTGGATTTCGAACTCGGCTCTGTAATTTCTCCTTCCGAGCTATTTATTTATTACACCACTGCGCATCCATAGATACATAGATACATATACAGTTACTTGCATGAGTCGTGCAACTCTAATAGTGTTGAATGTTCTTCTATTCATTTAATGTCTTAATTTCGTTAAATGATGTCATTTGATAGATCATAAAAATATTTTTCCTTCAGAATCGAAATTGTTTTTCGCTGTGGGGCAGAAATTAGTTAAGTCCTTCTCCAAGTTGAGAATGTTCCTCCACCCCAAGGAGTATATCCTCTTTCTATCAAAAGACTTCGTGTGAATACCCGGTGCTTGAAGCATCTCAGTCGGGAATCTGACAGGGAGTTGCGCCATTTTACTAATTAACCGTAACTTATACATAAAATCAGAAAGAGGTAATTGAAATTTTGGGGATACTTAATGAGGAAAGAGGATTTGGAAAATTTAATACTCACAGGCCACATTAAAAGAAGGGGGAACAGTAAAATAACGAAACCTATTTTATGTGTTTAGAGGAATAAATAACAGAGCGCGAGAAAAAGACGTGGTAGAACAACAAGGGACGTGATTTGGGAAGAGCCAAGGTCGTCCACATCACACACACACACACACACACACACACACACACATATATATATATATATATATATATATATATATATATATATATATATATATATATAATTTTGAAGTGTAAAATATTTATTTACATGTATAGTTTCATTCTGTGTATGTTTGGATCTAGACTTAAATACGCTGTAAATATGAGTCATATATATATATATATATATACATATTAATGTATAATAATGTTTATCTATATTTATCTATATCATTGTGTATGTGATGTATTTTAAATTATTTTTTTTGAGACAAAATTTTTTTTTAAATTTTACTTATTTAGATTTTACATTTTGATTTATATGTATATGTGCGTACCTGTGTGTGTATGTGTGTATATGTGTATATATGTAGGAGTGTATATATGTATGTGTATTTATGTATGTATATGTATATGTATGCGTATATATGTAAATGTATATATATGTATGTGTATATGGATGTATGTATATGTAGGTAGATGTATATGTAGATGTGTTTATATGTGTGTGTGTATGTTTTGATATGTATGTACTCATATATATCTGTATATTGGTGTATATGTATGTCTATATGTATGTATGTATAGTTAGACGGATAGATATAGGGATACATTGTTTATTTGTTTAGATGGGTGTATGTAATTGTATGGAGATGTAAGGTTTTATGTACATATGTTTATGTGCACGTATGTGTATGTCCGTATGTATATATGTGTGTAAATGTGTATATATATGTAGGAGTGGATGTGTATGGATGTATATGTATATGTATGTATGTGTGTGTATATTTATGTATGTATATGTATACATGTATGTGTATGTATGTATGTGTATGTGTATGTATGTATGTTTATGAGAATATATATATATATATAGATAGATAGATAGATAGATAGATAGATAGATAGATAGATAGATAGATGTGTATGTGTGTACATGGGTATATATGTGTGTGTATGTGGGTACACGCCTATATGTATGTATGTACTTGTATATCTTATTGTGTATGTGTGTATATGCATGTGTTTTTGAACATAAAAATATAAGTCCTTGCTAGATTAGATAATCATTATATTTTCCTCCAAGCAGAGTTTGCAGTTTCTGCTATTGTTATTGTGCGGGGCGCCCTTTTTATGATTTCTCATTTAATTTTGGTGGTAATGTTATTTTCTTTTTGGCTCAGTATGTACTTTGATAGTGCTATGTTGCTTTTGTATCTTTCTGTTTTAAATGATGTTTTGTTATGTCTGGTACAGGACTCTGCACCATGCCACACAAGCAGGAAAATCCACTCATGGCTTTCAGAAAATTTCTGCGACCACATCAACCTTTGCATCTGGCCACCTAACTCCCTAGTTTTGCAACCCACTTGATTATTGCGTGTGGGGCACAGTTGAGAGAGAGACCAGCAAAACTCCTTGCAACACCAAAGATGAACTGAGCAGCATTCACCAACTTAAACAAGGAGACCGTTCAGAAAAGTTGCAGGAGATTCCGAAGTTGTCTGGTGGCCGTGGTTGAAGCCAATGGCGATTATATTGAATACATCTCCTCTTTAGTGTTTCAAGATATTTTTCTGTAATTTTGGTAAATATATCTGTTAAAATGAGATGTCAGTGTTATTTTAATTTTTGCGTAATTTAGACGACAATTTATCTATCGCAGCCTGTACAGCACGTATTTTTATAAATCCATAATAATAGCCACGAAAGACGGACAACTTTAACATGAATAAAAAGAAAGTCCATTCAAATATTTATTACATTTTTGAATTAAAGAAAAAAGTTATTTATTGAACAAGAAACAGTTCCTTAATTTATATTGGAATCTTTGAAATGAGGAAATTATTATCATTAGATACTTCATTATTCGAACCATATATCTTCTTATTTGGTTTCATTGGCCCATCCCAGTTTATTTCTTTCATTTTTTTTTCTTTCTATCTATCAGTTCATATCTAAAACTGCAAAGTAAAGTGATGTTCACAGGTATTTGAAATTAGAAAGTGGAGATACTATTAGAATTTCTGCTTACCGTTGTTGTTATCAATTCAAACTCTTACCTGAACTCATTGTCAAAATTCCTAGTAAGTTTGAAACTGTTCGTACGTCATTGATAACTGCATACTACTGATGTTGTCCTTTTCTCAATGTGTAAGATCGGCCATGCCACGCGCATTTTATCGAATCACCCTCATTCTCTTCGTGAGATGTAAGTTTCACCCGAACAGCTTCTTCACATGAACCGACTCCAAAGCGAATGCTTTCCCATCACTACAATCCACACCCATGTTTATGCTAACTGCATATTTTATATTGTTGAGGTTGTACTCATCAATAATAAATCCCATCAGACTCTCCACCTTTCTTAAAATCGCCTCGATTTATCTATTAAAGAAAAAACTGGTAAGAAGATGCATCCTTTTTTTTATCTAATGTTTAAACCATACAAGGCCAAAGTGCTACTCAAAGTAGAGATTTGCCAAAAGAAGTTGTAAGAGCATAACAAGTGGAGGAAGGAGTGCAGTTTATGAGGTTATGTAGAAATGATTAAGTTGAAGTTAATATTGTAGTGATTGGGGAAACATCCTGCTGGGAGTTTGTTCCACAAAGTAGCAGTTCTTGGGAAGAGTTTCTGAGTGGAACTTCCTTCTTACTACTGGAATACAAAGGAAATGAGGAGGTTTCGCCCCTGTGTACGTGGCATGGCGGGTTTTAGCTAAGATGGTCAGGAATGATGAACTAATGAACGTTATTCATCAGAACATTTGCCATGGAAATAGCGATAAAGTAAAGAGAGGCTTGCAATATTTTGTCTGTGAGAAAGGGGGTTTAGAGTGAAAAATAATTAATCGCCCACAAATCCGCCTAGATGCTTTAGAACTTAATCAAAACAAATAAGTGAGGAGAGGGCAGTTCCATTCTAAATATGGCAACAGTACTCCTTTTTGTTTTGTCTCATCTGGCTCTTGTAAAGATAAAGTATTGCAGAACGTAACAAATCTTTACTTGAGCGGCACAAGAAGCCGACCATTTTTCGAGCATCTTACGCTTCTTTCTACTTTTCTGTGCTTATTCATTTTCTATCCGCGTATGTTAGAGGTTTGCTTTCAGTAAATGTTCTGGATTAATCAAATAATAAATCCCATCAGACTCTCCACCTTTCTCAAATAAATCTAGTTTTTTCCAGAGTTCATTGATTGATTGATTCGTTTTCTAGGGCTTATCAACATATTGCAGGTTATTTAAAGCCACCGAGTATTTTTAGATTGTAAGAATTTTTTTCTCTCGAGATAATAATGATTTAGTGATATAAGTCTTACGAATTAGCCCATAGCTGGAGAAGAAAAGGTGAATTCATAACATTTTCCAATGATATTTGTAGGTAAGTAACCCAATTAGTATTGGAACTCGTCGCTTCATTAACAATTCCGAAGCATTATCCATTACCCCACCCACGCATCCAAATTTACAGCACCTGGTATTCCAAAGCGGTCACCCATCCAGGTTCGATGATGCTTAACTTCGGTGATCGTACGGGAACCGCTGTTTCAACTTGATGTGGCCATAAGCTCTTAGAGTTCAAACAGATTTTTGTGTCGTACTTTTGTGTAGTGTATGAATCATAGGTATACATCCTTCTGAATGTGTATTGCTTGCTCTGATATCATTCTGATCATAAATTATCCAACCCATTCCCCACTCCAATCAGATCGATCACAGTTTAATCATAAAGTCATTGTAAACTCTATGATCTTTTCGTTAGCTTCATAATATATACTTCACCGGGGCTACATACGGTTTTTGATTACGAGTTGAGGATCTCCTAGATTGGTTGCCAACCGTGGCTAAAAGTCCTTTCAGTCCTACTATTTAACACCTGGCTCGAAAGGGAAGATATAGAGTTATACCTTTTGCCTAAGGGTATTTGCTGGAAAGTGGATGTAACGACACTTATCTGAAATTCTAACGCGACTCGCTGATTTTTAATACTTAGCTGTTATACATTGCACCATCTGCACATCCCCAAAAGTTGTAATAGAATACCCTTTTAGTATGACGTAATAAGATGAGAAGTAACTTATCAATGGAGTTCGTAGTTAAAGTATTTGATAAGAATTGAATAGGTCGTTGAAAATAGAATAAATGGACCTTTATAGAAATCTCACAATCGCCCACAAAGAAGGGCAGATGCACTGGCGGAATTATGAACTTTGACTAATATTAGTCATTAATGTGGTATTTGATAATGCTATGAAATGGCCGATGAGAAAATTACTTTGGAAGTGTCGTAATGCATTTCTGATTGAGGCAGACAATCACCCGAATGACGTTTGACTGCTGTCGATCCGAATGCATGAATATGGACAATTGAGTTGACTTCTCTCAACGATTAAATTACAATCGATTTTATATGATAAATTCTAAATCTCTTTTATTTGTAACAACGATACATAAGACATTACATTGGGCAGGCGAAAAGTATTTGAACTTAACTTTGGTAAAAAATATCGAAATGGTTTGAGAATAATGGTATTTCTTCATCATAAAAATTCAGGGCTTCATATTTTCTTTTTGGAAATGCAATAATATAACTATTTAAGTTACTTTATACTTCGGGGTGGGGGGTCAGTTTTCTAATTGTAGAACTCCCAACTTCCAAATACAAAAAAAAAATGTGCGTCAATTGTGATTAGGTTTTATACTTGAAAATATATTTTTAATTCCTGACTAAACGCTTTAGTCTCTGCATGTAACAATTTGGGAAAAACATGACTATATCCCACCAATTATTAGAGCTCTTGAGCAAGCCTATTTTGTGTCTTCTACTCATGAGATGGTGACCACAAAATTATGTTATCCTTCCACCTCTGGTTTTCCTCTACTAGGCACAATTTAACGAGTTTTGTACTAGAACTTTTAATGTATCCCGATAGCTTCAAAGGTTTTGCTATGTATAGTAACGAAGAATGAAATACAAATTGGTTACATTTTTCAGAGTAGTTATTTTCAATTCGTCAACTTTTGTCGATTGTGAAGGTGCACATCATATGGTTTTGATATGGTTTGGAATTAAGTCGTTGTTACACAATCTAAAACATATATAAAAAAAACTGGAAGACTCTATATAAGGCATATCTTCGTTTTAGGGTGGATTGGTACTCTTGGTGATTCCAGCATTTGTTTTATGTTTCCCAAAAGCAGCACACACAAGGCTTATTCATTGTCTCAGTAAATGCTAATGTTATTGTGTATATGATTTTATTTAAATGGACTTTCTCAAATTCCAAGTTTTTTTTATAATTAATATAATTACGCTATTCTGTCTCCCAATATGCAAATTCGAAATTGGAGATGCCAAAATCAAACAAGGACAACAATTTAAATATCTGGGAAGTGTTTTAACAAAGGATAGAAAGTGCGACATTGAAATACAAACGAGAAAGAAGTCTTCCAAAAACTAATCAAAGTATTAAGAAGCAGAAAAAATTCTTAGATACAAGGAAAAGGGTACTGAAGTTTTATGCAATATCAGTCCTTCTATATGAATTATGGACAATCTCCTCACAAATAGAGAAGAGACTTGATGCAAGGAAATTATGGTTCTATAGAAGGATACTAAGAATAATATAGACCGAACATGTGAGCATCGACGAAGTTTTAGAGAAAATGGAAACAAAAAGGAAACTTATACTGAACATCTGGAAGAGACAGTTGAAATTTTGTAGGACATATAATGAGGAAAGTGGGCTTGGGAAATTTGATACTAACAGGATAGATTTAAGGCAAAAGGGACGGAGGCCAGCAACGGAAAATCTACCTTGCGATCATGAGTAAGTGAATGGCGGGACAAGGTTTAGGAAAGATAACAAAAATGCAAAATTTATTAAGTACTACAAAGGACATAAAATTGTGGAGAGCGATGGGCGCCAACGCCTTAAAGTGACGCGCTACTAGAAAAAGAATGCTGTCTGACATTAAACGTATTGCTTCATGGAAAAGAACAATCCATTTCGTCCTCATTGCAATACATAATGGATAGAAAAAGGCTGAAGTTACATAAAATGGTTAAACTAAAAAACAGTAATATTATGCGTCTGCAAAAAAAAACGGCTTAGCCCAAGCGGGCAAGTGGCGGATCCAGTAGTATAGGGCAGCGCTGAAAAAATGATCATTCAAACTTATCTGTAAATGCGGATTCACATGTAACCGTCGCTACAACAGACACGTAGTTATTATCTATTTTACTCTGTCGAGAGAAATGACTGAATTATTTTATGTTTAATCATTAGAATGAATGAACGATTTAATCTACTTGCCTCTGATATCACGAATTGATATCAAACGTTCATGCTATTGTTTTTTAAAACACTATGAAGTGAGTAAGCAACAGAGAACTCTTAAAGAAAATGGTAACACAAAGAACACTTACACTCAGAATCAGGAAAAGACAGCAGAAATTCATTGGACACGTAATGAGGAAGGATGGCTTGGAAAACGTAAAACCCTCAAGTGGGGGAGGGGCTATTAAGAGTAAGTGAGATAGCAGAAAGCAGCTGACGAGCATGTGTAAATGGATGTTGGAACGGGGGTCGGGAGCCTTAGCAAAAAGCGAAAAACTGCTAAGTGCCACAAGGAAATGGGAAATTGTGGAGAGTTATGATAGCCTATGTCGACATAATAGAGCGACAAAATATTTATTTTTATTTATTCACAGAGTCAAGTAAGAAAAAATAACCGATAAATTCTGGTTTACCTCCCATTGTATCTGTTTTGAATAATCACTATTTGAAAAGCATGAACACAAATACTTTCTTTTCTCTCTCACATGGTGTCAGTTTTTTTAACAATCTTTTAAATGTAAAGAGAGAAAAGAATTTAGATAGTGAGAAAATCGGCAAACCACTTCCCAATGTAGCAGTAGCTGCTATATCCATTGTCACTTTTTCACAAATAGTGTTCAAATATTTTTACTATACTTACTGTGAATTAGGGCCAGATAAAGTAGAAAGTACTTTTTAAAGTAAGGAAAGAATATCCTTCTTTTAAAAATTTAGCACTCGAATACTACGTTTGATATGAGACAAGACATTGCAGTGTTATTTTTCTCAATGCAAGCGTAATCTTATGACCTTGCAGTAATCTTATGCCCTTGACGTAATCTTATGCCCTTGCAGTTTGTCCGTAAGACAAAACAAGGAACATTTATTTGGGGGTATATTTTTGGGAGGTTAGCACACATTATACATTCCTCTACCCATGACATTTGCTAGAAACGAAAAATGTTAAGTTTTATTTTTTTTTATTGGAGATGGGTGATGTTCCTAATATAGATACCGTATCAAATCGATCACTGACGTCATAAAATGTTACCCGTACTTTGCCATTACTTACAAATGCCAATCAAAAATGGAAAAATCATTGTCTCTCAAAAAAGAAACGAAAATAATTATTCTTAAAATCCACAATATATTTCAACATTCAATAACCGACAAAAAGTTGATAAGCCGTAAAAAATAGCAAATCATTTATACAGTTATAGAGATGTCAAGTTAATGCTTAACTGCTTACTTCCTTGATAACTGCGTTTACCTTTTTCCCAGTTCCTAATAATATTTTCGATTCTAATAAATGTCATAAGTAGAGAAACGTTGAATGAATGCTAATCTATAAAAATCGTGAAAAATATTTCCTGCTTTTTACGAAAGGATAGGTTAATTTAAGTAGTTCTTAAGTATTTAGTTTAACTGTTGTTTAGGCAATGAGTCAATTGTAGCAGGGTCGTTTAGAAACCAGAAGAAAATCACTGGAACTATAAAAAATGTATTCCGCATAAATATGTATTCTGGTGTCTCTAATAATCATGCCCCCGTTCTTATTAATTTCCCCTCCCACACAAAACTCCCTTTTTATTTCAAGCTCTCCCCACACTTTTTTGCGGGAATTTCCCAGAAAAAAATTAAATTCTAATTAAATTTAGAATAGCGAAAATGATTTGATACAGGTTCTAAAAAAATAATTCAAATTATGATTAATTTAATTGTAAAAATTAATTCGAATCATAACGAATCAAAATATTTTAGTCGTGTTGATATAACTGAGAAAATGACATTTATCGTTATGCCGAGTGTGATACTTCGCGCTATCATTTCATGGTGCATATTCACGATGATCCGTAAAGAAAAGAATAAGAAATGAAGGCCATTAGAAACAGGCTTGAGAAGATTTATGTTTATTTGATTGAGAAAAGAAAATTATTTTAACACTCTTAAAATAATTAACTGTTTTCTTTCAATTAAATACCACACTTTCAATCAAATAAACTATTTCACGCTCCTCAAATTTTTCCAATCACCGCTTATCCCAACACCTCACTTTTTGAACAATTTCCACACTTCTGTTTAATTCCCAACCCACGTTTATTTAAGACCGGAGAGTACACGCTACTTGTTGGACCCAGAAATAGCAATTTTCCTCATGTTAGTTATTGATGAAGAAAAACTATTTTTTTCTTTCCTTTCTTAATTTTTTAAAATCATTTCACCCAAGCAAGGTAATAAAGCCTCTAAG